GATGATAAAATGCCAGTCTCGTTAAAAAAACACGACAAAACACAAAAGTCTACATAGTTTCGCCTTAAAAGATCAAAATTAGACGCAGATGATTAAAAATAAACCAAGCCCAAAATGACTGCTGCGCCCAGCTGTCGATGGGCTATTGAGTTTTCAGCCAAATTGCTTAGCTGTAAATATTTACATTTCCAGGTTTTTTGACGAGTAGCACATTAAAGTGAAAATAGTTTTTTAAAAAACGAACTTGACAGTGCCAGCTGGAGTAGCTTGTGTTGATGTGCTAACTTCTAAATGCTGCCCGTTACACTCGCAGTAGGCTGAAGAAATTTGACCTAAAATGGATCAACAAAAACATAAGACACTTACCCCTAGGAGGCAAACTTTGAGCTCCCTTATGGCCATGGTAAGTTGTAAAAGGTCTTTCAAATCATTATTTGTCAGTGTTCCAGTCCGTCTCTTTGTCTCGTCATGCTTGAAACCGAGTTGTTTTTCCCTTCTTCTTGCATAAAAGAGAAACCCAGCCCCTTAAAGAACAGACTGACCATCTATCCTACACTAGTGTCAAGCAGTGACAATGACAAAAAGAATTTCCGGTGATGCCCTTCAAAATAAAACATGACTGGAAAACCCTGCATGAACGAGTAGTCTCTTCCGGGATGGCAATTCCAGTGCTGGAAGAAGCACTCATGAGTCTTGACGTAAAAGTAACAGTACCACAGTGTAAAAGTACTGTTACACGTAAGAGCCCTGCATTTCAAGTATTACTTGATTATAAGTAGAGTAAAGTATTAGCATCAAAATGGTACTAAAAGTAAAGGTAACCTAGTGATTACACAGAACTGTACATTTCACATTAATGGATATATTAGCTATTAGATTATAACCATCCAGCAGTAATTCAAACCCAGGGAGTTAAAATTTGCTCCACCTCTACCAACTGCAACATGTAGCAATAGATTATACAGTACTGTATGTTGTTTTATTAATCTGATTCTGAAATGTAACTAAAGTTGTCAAATAAACACAGGGCAGTTAAAAAATACAGTAAAACTGTGTCTAAAATGAATTAACACAAAATGAAATGATAATGCTCTTTATAAATGCACTTAACCCCATAATTACAGTTCACTTCCTCAAAATGCATGCAGTTTTCATTTACACACTAAATAGGCTGTGAATAGGCTGTGAAAGGGGAAAGTATTCAGAAATGTGTAATGGAAAACGGGAAGCACTAACTATGGACTACACTTCTAGTCAAACATAGTACAGCAAAAAAAGTAAACCTTAGGATTTATGACAGGAGCAATACTGAGATATATTATTCAGATTGACATTTTATTCATTACAGCATTATTCTGTCTGCAACAATGGGCTATAAAAGCTTGGAACAATACGAAAATAACCCTATGAGAAGATTCTGAGCCCAATCTAGCATCGATCTGTTTCAGTCACAAGATTAAAAATGCAATGAATCATAAGATGAGATGTGTCTGTGACCAAAGCAGGCACTGTCACACTAGCATTTTCCACACAGGTCATTAACAAAACGAAAATAAAGGACCAAACAAAAGAGCTCAAAGTACAGTATGTCTGCAATTTTACAATAATATACACAAATGTAAATAAGTCAGGCCATGCCTTTGCTTTAAATATCACTGAACAATGACAGTACTTTGCAATAATCGTGGATCAGTTGTGAAATTAAATGATTGACTTCTGTTGTGGTTATTCATTTCCAATTAATGTCATGAAAAAAACCCCCAAAAAACTAAAATATACATCAAAACTAATCAAGCCTCCTGTGTGTTTCTGGAGACCAGAGTCATCACTGTGGATCTGCTATCAGCAAACTGGAAAAACAGAAAAGACGACTGCACTACAAAGTGTTGTTTCACACAATGTCACTTCCAGCTGTTTGTCTACATTTTACAGTGATGAATATACTTTTGTCGCATCTTTATTTTCCATTCATGTTTTCATCCGTTGGTCAGTTGTGAAGTACAACGCCACTATGTTTATGTGCATCTGCTATTCAAAGAAAAAAATCTATAATATATATATATATATCACTAAAAGGCTGTCAATTTAAGTTAATCTCTTTCTTGAATAGTCATCTGCATTCTTCAGAATACTACTTCAATATACAATATATAGATACTAGACAAATCATAAATTTTACAGTATTCAAAGAGCTATTTCTATTAGTGGTTCTCTGGGGAAACTTGTTCAGTCTGGCATCTTCAGTTATGGCACAGTGTTCTCTAGCTTCCGTTTGGGTAAGGGAATGAGAATGTATCTGGTAATTATTTCTTAAGTCCTTAGGTGAAAAAATAAACCTACTGTAATCAACTCTTCCTTCCACTCCCTTACTTGCTTTATAAATCCCTTCATGCCATGTCTTCCTCCCTCCTCTTCCTTCATACAAGCTTGGCACTGAATCTGATAATATGGTCCCACCAAGTCTCTCACAGTAGGAGCCAGTTGTCCGCCACAGCAGCTGCTTTACTTGTGTGTGTGTGTGTTTTGCCAGGGAAAATGGGAAACAATGTATATGATTTTGCTGAGCCAGGACAACAAAGACAGTGTAACAGATTTTTCCATGGCTGCCACAGTTAACTCCAGCCATGTAAACTTTCCAGTGGATAATGAGTGACGCTACAGGACAACTGACCAGCGGCAGAGATGTACAGCAGCACAGAGCCACCAAATACCTCGCTGACATCTCACATGTTGGTGTCTCTCCTGTCTTTGCTTGGCGAGGGCTTTGAAGGATCCTTAGCTGCCTTTCCATTGGCCGAGGCAGCCACATCTGTGCTAGCAGCCACCGCAATGACAGAGCGTTTGGTTTGCTCCTCGCTGCGGGCCTCTGGGCTCGGCTGTGTGGGGGGGGCCTGCTCAGCTGGCAGCTGGACAGTCAGCTCTTGCTGTAGCTTGTGGCTCTGCAGAAGGCGGAGCTGGACGCGGAGCTCCAAGATGGCCTCTTGCTCCTCGTGGATGGCCTGATTCAGGTGGGTGTTTTTGTTCTATGGAGGCAACAAAATCCAGACAGTCCTTAAGAAACTTACTAGTTCAACTAGTAATATTCACAAAGAGGCTGTAAAGGGATGTAGAAATAAGGGAAATAGTGGAACTATGCATTTAGGCCCCAAAAGGTATTACATTAAAAGTTTGTAACTACAATTCTAAAAAAGTGCTATTAGCATCATACAGACCAGCCCGACAGGCTATTTCTTGCATCTAAAACAACAGCATCAGAATACTTCAATATTTTAGACCAAGCTATTCTTTAACATGACTCCGTCCTATTAAGGATTGTGTCATCATTATGCCTCTGCGCCGGCAACAGCCATGGCTGGAAGCATTATGTTTTCGGGTTGTCCATCCATCCAATTTTCGTGCAAGCAATATCTCAGGAATACCTTGAGAAAATTTGGAGCAAATATCCATTTGAACACAAGGATGAACTGATCAGAGTTAGTGGTCAAAGGTCAAGGACACTGTGACCTGACTGGCAGACACACAATTGCAAGGCAGTAAATTTTAGTTTTGCACATAAAACACAGATTAATTACAGTAGCTGGACTAAATTCCTTTCTCACCTCCAGTTCCTCGTTTTGCTTTTGCAGATCTTCCAAAATCATCTGCAGCTCTTCCTCGTCCTCACTCTCACTCTCACTGTCTGATGAATATTCCTCTGTCTCACTGCGACCCTGCTGCCGACTGAGGAAAACAATGCTGGGTTACAGCTGAGATCTAACACACGTAATGGCTGTTTATTGTTTTACAACAAGGGTTTTCAACCAGTGGTCCATGGCCCCCTGCTGGTCCATGCTGGAATTGCAAGTGCTCCCCAATCATACATTCAATGACATAGTTCCACTGTCAATTTTTTATGTATTTATTTTACTAATTTCCATGTATCACTTATTGTTTTTGAATAATCAACTTAATGCAAATATATACAATTTAGAAATACCACAGTCACTCATCTACCTCTGTATGTCTGCAATCTCAGCCCGCAGTCTCTCAATTTCTTCCTTCTCAGTAGCTATCTGCCTACGAAGCACCTGCTCAAGAGAGATCAGCTCCTCCTGCTCCGTCAGGATCTCATTTTCCTGATTATGGAGAGGAAACAGGGAAAAGAAAATTATTAATGGAGCTTAATAAGAATGAGACTTCAGTAAGGATTTTTTGGAAATATTTTCAGGCTTTTGTGCCAGTTTTGTGAGCACATCCTTTATAAATGTGGATTTTTGTGCTTATTTGACTGACTCACCTGTTTTAAGAGGAGGTTGATAACTTCCTCTTCATTCTCAGTCATCTCCTCCTTTGAAACATCTTCCTTTGACAGGCTCGCTATCTCCTGGGCTATTTTAGTCTCACACTCCTAAAAAGGCCAAAAGACAAGATACAAACACAGCACAGCTCTGGTTTTAGGCGTCACTGTATTGGGGTGCATTATACACTCAGTTGACAGGTAATGAGGGACACCTAGCTTAGCCCTATGTAGTCTAACACAATAGTTCTGTAACAGCCCTCTTTCATGAAGGTGATAAAGTTTTGTTTTTGTTTTAAAGAGGTGTTGATTCAACTGTATGATCATTTTGGAGGCTGCATTGCACTGCATGAAGAGAAGCTTCTGTTATTTACCCTAGATTCATAAATGTTGCAAACAAAATATTAGTTGAACAAAATGAACAAAAATGATTAAAATAGCCTTTTAAAAAAAACCCTGACATACACACAAACAGATATCTGGACACAGCTTACCTGACGTTTGGCCTCCCTCAGCTTGCGTTTCAAAGCCGTCAGGATTCGCTGAACCTCCCAGAGTCTCTCCTCTTTGGACAAGTCTTTCACACCCGCCTGCAGATCCCTGTGCAGGCGGTTCAGAAGGTAATCCTAAAAACACACACATTTATGTTATAGGCGGAAATTTGACACTCTTTATTTGATGCAACAGTCAAACATGTCTGAATTCCTTAATCATAAAACAATTATACTAATTCTTAGTGTCTTACATTATTCGGGGACAAAAAACTGATTTAAAACCAGGTACAGTAGCTAATGAGAAAAGAATAATCTAATTTCCTGTGCATACTTTCGCGTTAAAATATGTATCCCTGGCTCACTGAGAAACAGCAAAGATCTGTACTGCTGACAGGACTATGTACTATAAACAGAAGGCATCTGCTTTGCTAAATACTTGCTGCATGACTATATATCTATTGTGCAACACTTTAATTCATGCCTAAAGTGAAAACAATTTATCATCTGCTTACTTAAAAGAAATTAGGAATAGCAACATGCACAATTAAATAATGAGGATTTCATACTTCACATATTTCTATGAAGATATACAGTAACTTGTACTCATTTTACTACAGGCATCACAAATCAGCATCCATATAAACTGTTCAGGTCCAGTGTCTTATTCAAAGACTCTTTGGCAAGGTAGAACTTAAAATTATTTAGATTAATTAAACGTAAGATACATAAAAGAAACATCCACAAGTGTCTAAAACAAGTTTTTTAAATTGTCAACAAAAGTTTCCAGAGTCCAAAGTGATGTCTTCAACAAACTGTTAAAAAACGATGATATTTTAATTGACAATGATATAAAGTGAAGAAAAACATGAATCTTCACATTTAAAAAGTGGAAACTCGCAAAGATTTTTCTTAATTACTTAAATGCGTTTCATCCATTTTTAGGAATGATGTGACATTTTGGGAAATACACTCATTCACTTCACTGCTGAAAGTTGATACCCATCTACTTAATATGAGCTGCACAGTTAGCTTACACTTCGTATAAAGTCTGTAAATGTCCAAACAGCTAGCCTTGATACACCCAAGGCTTGAACACACCTGTCGTCGGATCTCCTCTTTGATGTTCTCCTGGGTCTCGGGCAGCGCTGGCATCGTTGCCATGTTGGACCAGCGAAGGGGCCGCACCACTGGCTTCAGGACTACGTCTCCAAACAGCTCCCTCACATGGGTGAAGAACACGTAAAGAACACGATTCCCAATCTAAACACAAAGGCAAACAAATCGGTGGACACAAAGCGACAGGGCACGGCACAAACTGTAAGTACTCTTGCATTGCATGTGGGGTAGTCTTTGTATTACGTGTGTCAGACTGTAGTGTGAATCACCTCTGCACAAATTTCTCCACAACACACTTTCCAAATACTTGCACAGCCTAAAAAACTCACTCATTGATTCAAGGATGCATTTATTTAACAGTGCTGTTTTTCAGCCACAGAGATTGTCCTCTATAGGAATAAATTAGCTTCACAAAACTGGGCCAGGGTTTTTGAGATGAACTGACTGACTGATCCAAATAAAACTCGGTTGGTTGGTTGCTATGGGGATGTTTCTTATCTTTAAGGTACAACTGAGCCCGAGTCAAATTCCCATTTTTCTATTTGATGTTTAATTTGCCTGTTGCTGTTAAATTACAGCTCTCTGCAACATTTCATGACCTTTCAGCCCATTTCCTTCCTTTATTATCTTTTACAATCATCTCACATTCCATTTACTCTCCCTAGTCCATCTTCCCTCTCTGACCTGTATGGTTGGGTTGAGGACAATGGAGATATTCTGAATATTCATCTTGGTGTCGGCCTCCCTGGCAATGACGTGGTCCATGTGCGTGATGAGCCAGGAGAGAAGAAGTCGGCTTTCGGGCGACACCTCGGACAACAGCCTCTGGAACTCTGTCACTTTCTCAGCCTCCACCTGCCGACCGCAGGCCTCCTCAAAGCGCTGGGCCAGGTCTCGGCTCAACAGGTTCTCAGGCAACTCCCGAAGGTACTGCTTCAATAGACTGGCAACTGTGTGGGGGTCATACTCCTCCAGGGTGGGGCACTCCTCACGGTCATATGACGCTTTTAGCTCATCCACCTTGGACTTCATACCTGAGAAGGAGAGAAGTTCAATCACACAAATAAAATTATTTGATTGTTTTTCTCCATATTTAGCAGGTCTGTTTTTACAAGATGACATCAAATCAACAACATCCCAAAGTTTCTATACCTGAGACCCGGTAGATGCCCTCACACTTCATGCCATAATTTTCAATGTAGTCCACACAGTCTCTAAAGATGGCTGGCAGCTGGATGCCATCATACAGAGCTGTTCTCTTGACGGCTTCAGCCAGAGGTGTTCCAAAGATGGGTCTGAAGGTGGGGGTCTCCACCGGGACCGTCTCCACCTCAGTTGTGGGCTTCTTCTTCTTCTTCTTCTCTTTCCACTGTTTAACCACGTCTGCAGCAGTCAGGTCCTTAGATTTCTTATCCTTGGCCTTGTCCTCCTTGGGGCCCTTCTCCTTCACCTTGAAGTCCTTTTCCTTTTTCTTGGAGAAGCTCGGCTTCTTGAACACATGAATTCCCTTAGAGCGCTTCATCTTAGACGGGCTCTCTGCTTCGTCTGCTGAACTGTCCTCCTGAAAGGCGGCGTAGCCTTCCGCTGTGAAAATAAATGAAAAGTAAGAAGAGGCAGAAATAGATCTGAATGGAGATAACACCCGTTTTCCTATCCTCCTCCTCCAACAGAACTATGATAGCAGTGAAACAGAAACGGGAAGAGAGACGTGTGAGAAGAGAAGATAGCAGTGGAGGGGGGGAATTGGAAACAAGGTCAGCCACTGATTTAGCAGAGCTCCCACTGCACCTTACACCTCTCCTCTCCAGAACCAGTTTAAATGTATCTCCTCAGAGCAAACTCCAACAAGAAGTGACCTCTTCACAGCTTTTGTCTCCTATAATAATCTCTACTCTGGTTTTCCCCCCAGAACAGTTCCTGTGTATCACACCACTGCCAGAGACACACCTTCACTGGGCTCTCTGGGTGTGCCCTTAAACTACCCACCTCTTCCTCTCTCCCACTACTCTATTGTAAACAAGGTGTTATTGTCCTCTGAACAAAACCCAAACATGTACCTTAATATGCGTCACACACCATGGAAACAGAAATCAGGAGGAGACTGAAACAAAAGAGATGAATTTTTTTCTGAAGTTCTCAAATATTTTTAGTTTCTTTTACTTTATCTTGGAGTGCCAAGCTAATCATTATACTGTGCTTATGTTACAGTAGGTCCCTAGCATATTACATAAATTTTCCCACAGAACTGTGGGCTTTAATGTGTTGAATACCTTATACTAACACAGCAATGAACATTTACCCTAGATTAAATTAACTGTGCTCATGAATAGGCTTTGTTCAATGTTCTGAGCAAAAAACCTTTCATCAGACGCTGCCAGTAACTAAATTACTACCCATCTGCATGCCAACCGCATACTAACCAAAAGTATTTGCTACTGTCAAATGTTGCCAAAATAGGATCTCATAATTATGAGATATTAAGTCATAATCAAGGTGTTCCTACCGAACATCACAGTATGAAACTCAAGCAGACAGAAACATTCAGTTTTCAGTGATTTGACAAATTCTGGCTATTTTGAATGGCCAGAACAACATTTTCAATAGAAGTCACCTGAAATGTATCATCATAACCAGGGAATATTGTTATACTCAAACATTTATTAATAAATTGGCAGAAATATTAGAGGATTAGTGTGCCTAAAAATCTTAGAATAAGGTCCCTTTAGAAAAATTTCCAGAACTTTCATTCATTTCTAATAGCTTTGACAAAGCCTGGTAAATGGCTGAAAGAGCCACAAAATGTCCGTTAAGTGACCTTGTGTGGATTCTTTATTTATTTTTGTAAAACTGCTGTTTTTAATGCAAATAAAACCTTCAAGTTCAAAATTACAGGATAATTCCTTACTCCTTTTCTCCTTCTTCTTGAACTTGTTCTTCTTCTTGCTGTGTTCTTTGTCATCGTCTGAGACGTAGGTGTCAGGTGCCTCATGGTGATGGCCATCATGAGGTGGCGATGGTTCGCCGGTGCGGTACAACCCTGGGAACTTAGTGGGGCTGATTTCCTCAGAGCTGGGGGTGCGAGCAACACTGCCCGGGTGTTCAGCCCTGCGCTGCTCAGCAGGGCTGCTGCTGGGAGGCAGGAAACATTCAGTCATGGCTGGTCTCGCCCCTGTACCCCTCCGTTTTTGTGCACCCGTGGGCGGCCCAGCGGGTCTGCTGCGGGGAGGCAGAAAACATTCAGTCAGGGCTGCTTTAGCCGTATCACTCCTCTGACTGGGACATCACCCCTCCATCACATCTGCAGTTATCAGAAACATAAGATACAATAAAGGGAGCACTGTAAATCAAACTCAAACATTATGTACACAAAAAGATATAGCATAATAAAACAGGGTGCAGTCTTTTCCTGCCTTAAATGACTTGTCAGAGCCTCTGTTTTTATATTACTGTTGTTTTTTATTATTATTGGACACTTTATTCCATTTTAATTTTGCAATACTGATATAATTTTATCATGCAATATTTTAATCCTTGTTCAACAATGTAAAACACTTTATAATTTGGTTTTACAAAGTGCTGTATAAATAAATCTTATTAGTACAATATTTTTCTTCTTCATTTCCTGAACATTTTGATGACTGTGTGAACAGAAGAACTGCAGCAGTAATGTCCACCCACCAGATGGGGCTCTGCCATATGAACGATAACATTTTTATGTCCTACTTCTGAAAGGGACAGTCAGCAAAAACACAGCTACAGTCCACTTAATCAACCACAGAAACAACAATTTAGCTGAAACTCATGCAGATGACTGTAGACAAGCAGACACTTATTCATCTGTTTAACTAGCTATCAAATAAAGCACAAAATCCATTAATATTAATGTTTTTTTTATATTGCAGAGCCAATATTTTTAAAGTTGTGGAACTTTGAACATTGAGCAGTATTAACATTTTGTTGTGAAATATTTTAAATGACAAGAAACAATATCATGTCCATATGTTGTCATTGTTTTACGCTTTGTTCTTGTACTCATACACTTTGAGATGTGCCTTCTTGAACTGTCAAACGTTAGGAGACATCTGTGTCAAGCTGTTATTGTCATTGATTCTGCTTTTTAAAAGCCTCGGGCCTATATGTGATAGGTATATAATTTCACCTTTCAGTCCAAGTCACTTTACATTTTGTCATGTTAAATTAAGCAGCATAGATTTCTATTTACCATATTAATTCCTGTCAAATCAATCTGACATGAGATTGGGGATCTCCTGCAACACACCAACGATACAAGTGTGATGTATCGATTTCTCTACGAAATTACACGAGTGTCAAAAAGAGAGGGGTGATAACCAATGAAAAACAATATCTAAACCTTCACTAATACGGCCTTAGTTGAATTCTGGACACAAAACTATTAATAGAGTTTGTTTGACTATCTGATATCTTAATCTTCCTTTGCTATGGGAAGAGTGTCCTCACCAATTTCTTGTCGTGTCCCGTTTACGGTAGACCACTAACTGAACACAGCCAATCAGATTCCGCCAATATGATATAAAATGCTCCCATTAGTTTCTGAACTAATGAATGTAAACACATTTACATTAATATGTCATTAAATAAACGCCTCCCTCTGAATGGAAGGGCCCGCAGCTAGCTGCCACCCTGCTAAGCTAGCTAATTAGCAAGACTCTCTGTTACGATTTAAGTCACTGTGTCGTCCAGACAAAACCGCCACAAGGTAGCTAGTTAGCTGCAGGTAGTAAACTCCATCTTGTAGTAGCTGCACTGTCATTGAAACAGCAAAACACAAATGACAAGAAACTTTACCAAGTACTATACCGTTCCGTCAATTTCACAGTGGAGCTTCCGGCTGGTTGTATACTAAATAGACCTATCTGCGCTTGCGCGGTAGTACAAGTGCAGGATTGGAAATGTAGTTCAAAATAGAATTTGAGCACCTCGAAGCTTCCACCGCACATGCATAGCCTACAGGTGTTTTGGCCAATATCAATGTGGAACTAATGGAGGCGGTTTAGGCTGTGGTGTCATATTGAACTCAACCAAAGGTTCACTCTTATACAAGCTTGTGGACAAGAGAAACTGTCAAACAATGTTTTCAAAAGCATCTATAATATATATAATATATTTGGTCAGATGCTGTGATTGGACCCAGAAGACTGGTGGGTATCCAGACATATGAAACACATTAGTCTTCTGCTGAGATGGACATAAACACAGTACATTCATGCACACTTTTATAGTTATACATATTCTTGTACATGGATATTTGCATTTATGAGGACTTTATTTTATTCCACTACATTTCAGAGACATTTTGCAATTTTTACTCCACTAGATTTTTTTATACAGCTGTAGTTAATTTATATTAATGGTTTTACACAAAGTACGATTAACATATAACACAAAAGATATTGTTAAAGACTAAACCAGTTGTCTCCAACCTTTTTGCCTTGTTAAAAACATCACAATGTAGTGTGTACAGTGTAGTTGGGTCCCCTTGTTGCATTTCAGTATGTCTCTAAGTTTTTAGAAGAGACATCTCCTCTAAACTCCTCACATGGTTTCATGTGGTGTTTGAGCCCTAAAGAGGTAAAATTGACAAATATTTTCTAAAATAAAGTAAAACTTCCATCCAAAGTCTAAAAACATATTAGTATATTGGACTAAGCTCACTACCTGTATATAAAATAGGTAATCTAGCTCTTCCTCATGCAGCTACAACAGAAAAATGCTTCTTAGATATTGATGTATCAGTATTAACAATCTATTGTCTGAAATAATCAGATATTAGTCACAGCAGCATTGAACACTTTGATACTTGAAGTACATTTTACTGATAATACTTCTGCATTTTTGCTTAAGCAGAACATTTCATGCAGGACCTTTACTTGTAATGGAGTATTTTTGCATTGTTGTATTAGTACCTTTACATGAGTAAAGAACTGGAATACTTCTTCTACCACAGGTCCTCTTATCTTTGTTGGCATCATCTACTCCAAACCACACAGCTGCAGTGGTGAAAAGAGGCCGTGATTCAGTATCATAAAAAAAAAAAAACAAGCTCTCATTGTGCATCTGGTACATTAGTCTGTGCAAACTGCTGTTGCATGCCAAATGGGAAAAGAATGAGATAGAGCACCCTGCTGCCTTTTGAAAATGCCCTGGCATTACAAAGAGCATTTGTGTGTGGCGGTGAGAGATTGGCATCAGTAAATGCTCCCTTTCCTCTCTGCTTACAGGAGATGGTTAGTGAGCACTGGAACACCTGTGAACCAGAATGGTAAAATAACAACTTTGTTTCCCCAGGAAATGATGCATTTCCTGACTTGGGCAACACTAGGCTAAGATTAGAGGAGGAGACAGGCAACTTGGCAAATAAACATTCACTATTCTATGCAGTTTTTCAACATCATTTTAACAAAACATAGTTATCAGACTCCTCTCTGTGAGACAGTCCATGTCACCAAACAATTCTTTATTTGGCACAGGACTTGGGTTTAGCGGACCATAATTGTAAAAATACATTATTCATATACACCTCTAGTAAAAAACACTATTGGAAACATATCTAAAATATACAATCAAACAGAACAGCAGAATAAAAACAATTTGCAGGGGTAGCAAGAGGGGCATAGGGGGTATTTTACAAGGTAATTGAGGAATGCTAAAACAGTCATAGTTTCCTCTGTCCTCAGTCCTCTGGTGCTGACATTTGGTACCAATATGTGCCCACATTTCAGAAGAGACAGTTCATGCACTTCACTGCCTTGCTGCCATAGTCCACGCACTCGGGTCCAATGCATTGGCAGCAGGCGTTGTGAAACCAGCGGTACTTGGATCCTCCCATTGACTCACAGTAAAGTTTGCATTGACGGATAGACACGCAGTCATCAAAGTAGACCACTGTGCACATATTCTCTGAAATAAGAAGAAAATTTGAGTCACAAATCCAGTCAACATGGTTTATGGACACAAGCAACATTTTAAAGTAATCAGCTATAACCCTTAGTGTTCCCACTTTTACTTCAGGGCTAAAATGAATTTGTTGCAACTAAGCATGACCATATGTTTTGGTGTTGGTAAATGAGTTAAATGCTGTGGGAACGTTTGTATTATGAGTGTGTGTTTTTGCAAATAACACTGGCTTAGAGGGAGACGGCCAAAACAGCCACAAATAAAAATAAAAACAATGGCGGCACAACAACATTTTAAGCCCAGTAACAACTACCTAAAGAGGAGATCTTTGAACGATGAAAACAGGATCTGGTCTGATTTGATGACAGGCACAATTTTTAGAACCCATCTCACTTTTATTTTACATTGAAAAACTGAAGTCATTGAAGTGTGAAGAGTGACTTTCAGTATATGGATTAATGTGGATATGAGAAGCTGGTAAAGTGTGAACAAAGATATTTCATCATTTTTTTCCTCACAAGCCAAATGTCTGTTGTTACCTTGAGTGTCATAGCTGGTGTGGATGCTGTTGCCAGGCACAGACACGTTCTGGTGCTGGCTGTCAAGTGACTCCAAGAAGGACACCAGGTTCTCATGATGGGAGAGCTCCTCGGCGACAGGGAAGGACACCACCATCATGTTTATTGGTGCGTCGCCTTCTGTGAGAGCGCGAAACAGCGAGGGAATCGGGCGGTGAAGCTCCTCCACGGTGCTCTTCGACGTGGCCGGAGAGTCGCTGTAGTTCTTGGGGTTACACATCCCTGACACAAAGAGACAGAAACAGGCAGTTCAAAAACAGTCACTTCATCCACACTGTTAAAAAAAATAAATAAATAAATAAATCACAATTTCCTCTCTGACCACTGGTGATAGTTCAGCTTTTCAGGTAGTTTTGAGTTTATCTGCAAAGGTTTTATATATTTATCTCTGAGGTTTCTGCTGCCAACCCAATGCAGTGGAGGGAAATAAAATTGATTTGGAAAAACATTGAAAAAGTGCATTTGAAAAAAATTTACAGCAATAAAAAGTTACAACAGTTTAAAGTGCCTTATTAGAGAGAAGTCATTTTCTTTGGTTTCTTCAAACAAATGCAACCTCTGAATTTATTTCTTTTTCCCAATACAAGTTATTACCAAAAAAAGTCATTTTTAATGCAGTGAGAACTACAAAATTTTTTTTATTTAAGTCATTACCACTGGGGCCGGGTCTGTAGCCAGTATTTACAAATACTGAGGTCATAAGCTTAATTGTCTCCACACAGAAACTTTGGCTATCCACCACCCAAACTCCATTCAATTTTCTGAGCATTAAAAGAAAAGGGGAATATCTCAAAACCTGGGCACATAAAACCAAAACTACCTGCACGGCTAGATACCATCAAAGGGTATGTTTTTTCCTTTGTAATTTCGGTGAACTGACCCTTTAAGTACACTGGGGAGACTGGGAGTTCATTTATAAAACATGATTTTTCTCAAAATACACAGGCCTAACCGTTTTACGGGTTCACACTTGAATTCAGCTCACATGAGTGGTTTTGTTAAACCATAGCGCTGTCAAGAGTATCTTGTCTCAATTAAAGTCTTTTTAACACTTCATTAATGTCCAAATAATCGCATGGCAAAGTCCCCACATCCTCCAATAGGATCTTTCTAACCCTTCAAATGCATCAAAGTGAATTATAGCTAATGTCTAAATCATTTAATGGGGAAGGGAGTTTGACAGAGGAATTGTATTACAAGCCAATGCTGAAAGCAGAGCCAGAGCAGCTGGTTTTGATAAAGCGAACACATGGGTCCTCCCTCTGTGTCCTCCCTCCTTCTCTTCTAACATACAAACTGTTCTCTCCACCGCTCCTCTACTGGGCTGCTGTAAGCACTCGCAGAGACACCCTTCAAAGTAGACAGCATTTGGCACAAATAATATCTTCAGAGTGGAAACAAAGTTAAAGTGGTCATAAGGCCAGCACAAAATACAAAAACACAATTCTATATTTATACTCCAAGGTAAGCTACGGCTAAGCTACGGGCTGTCTTCACTGTCCAGGAGGAAAACTCAACCATAACATCTGTGCAGCAGCAGCAAGTTCAGAGCTTAGGGTCAGATGCTTGTATTTGTGTTTCACATGAAAGAACTTTAATAAAGTCTTGTTGTCAGCACGTACAGCAATATCTGTCTGTCAAAGCTGATCTGAGAGCCTTCTGGTTTGCAGGAGCCCTGCCTAGCAGAGTGAAAGGGTGATTGGTAGCTTGCGTGTGAGTACCATGATGAGTTTTTCTGTTATAGGAAGCTACAGAAACGTGTCGGGCCAAGTAACGCTCGTCACAGGTTCTGCATTTGTTTCCAGGAGCTAAGTTTCAGCACCCCCTCAGGTACTAGTCCTAAAATCAAGTACCAGGATCACAACGAGGCTGGGGGCACATGCCTGTAGAGCAGTCACTGGTGATTCATCAAATGCCTGTGTCTTCACACCTCAAGCATTAGCATTACTAGTACCATTGCACCATTTGTAAACACACAGCTGACTGGAGGAGCAGCCTCTCCTTCTCCTAAATAAAGACAGACAGAGAGAAAATAAATTGGAAGAACAAGCAGGACAATCCACGTCAACCTCGAAGACTATGCTTGGTGAGGGTTAAGGTAAGTACATGGTATACCGCTCATTAGGTTCCGGTAGTGGGAATGGATGAGTGAGCAGGCCTACCAGGTGCACACCAGAGTTCTGTATGAAACCATTTAACATCTCTGTAAAGTCAAACAACTAAAAAGAGCTACAAGGGAACACAAAATAGCCATAAAGAGACTCGCAAAGACCAGAAAGTCACGCAAAACCACAACATAGCAATGTAAAACAACCACAAAGAGACTCATAAACACCAGAAAACACGCAAACAATATGTAAAATTAGCAACGTAAAGCAGCCACAAAACACGGCCAAAATAATGTGCAAAACAAGACACCAAATGACTAAGAACAACCACAAAGAGACACAAATAGCCATAAGGTCAATAACTAAAAGGAGATGCAAAACAACTACTATGATCACAAAAAGAAGTCAAATGATGACACATTCAGTCTGGATGTCTTGCTCCTATGTAACAGGGAGGCCTACTATGTCTTTGTTCAGGGGTCCTTTGTGACAAAGCAAACAACCAGCTCTTTACACTCGAGTCATTTTAGTCACATT